AGAACATACTGAAATGTACAGGGCATTTGGGAGAAAATTAATGAGATGCACAGGGCAGTACTTAATATGAGGACCTCACCATAGAGACAGGAATTAAGTCACCTGGAACCACGAGAAAGCCAACCTTTTATGCTTTTGCTTAAAAGCCACATTTTCTTTACTATATACCACAAGAGCATTGGGCCATGGCACATTAATGGATTCTGGACTGGTAATGGGTGTCCAAGGATAAAAGAGGGTTGAATGGGTCAAAAAGTTGGGAAACATTGAGTACTCTGTCTCCTTTCATAGATACAAAATAAACATTAGTCTAATACATGTTCTAAAGAGTCCTCAGAAAATAAATCTCTTTTTCTCTGTTTAACTATTTGTTTCTTTTTCTTACCTGAACAGATCAGTTTTTCCTTCCTAGTAACGAATTGTTGTTGTACATAAGATACCACTAATTATAAGATGTACCATTACTTTATTTGCCACTAAGAAAAAAAAACTCTGCCAATTATAATTGTACTGTATTGTCAACTATGAGATACATTCTGATTTGAGAGGTGTTGACATGAAAAAAATGTGGAACTTAAAAACTTCTTGAGATGGTTGGATACAATGAGGTTTCGTTTCTAGATATTTCAAATTAATGGAACCGTTCTTCTCTGAGCCAGGCTATATTGTGATTTCTCACTCCTAGTGTTTCTATTTTTATTTTTTAAAATCACTATGTAATGGAAATTGTAGAGATTGTGGCATAGATAGATCCTGCTTATCAACCAAATTTTGTGTTCCTCTTCCACCGTATGGGATTGGTGCTGTGAAGCAGTGGTCACCATTAAGTGTGTGTGTGTGTGTGTGTGTATGTGCGTATTTAAATTTTAAGTAGGGACAAGAGCCATGAAGTTTAGAAGATAGATATCCCTTACAACTAGATACTGTGTCATATACAATGGGAGCAGAGATAATGCATGTCACTTCTAAGCAGAGGTAGTTAAGTACCTGATATCATCCCCTACTTTCTTCACATTCTGCGGTAAACTTGGAGGCTGCATGTTAAATGAAAAAAACAATGAAAAAAAGAAGCCTGGAAGCAGGAATCATACCCAGGGTACTCCAATCAGAAATATCCTCATTGAGTGCTTCATGAGCAAGGAAAACATTTATTAAGTCACAATAAAATTTGGAAGTTTATACAGCAATTAACTTAACACTGGTCAGTTTTGTTCATATTTCTTACAGCATATGCATTACCTGTCAAATGGTAGCAAACACTTCTTCCAGGTCCCTGGCAAAGACGGGATTCCTCCATTGACTGAGCAATTATGGGTCCTGAGTTGAAGTTGCTTTGCATGAATGATGTGGAAGACCAAGTGGTTTCTTATGCCTTTGTCCAAATCTCTACCACTGTGCTTAAGTTGCAATTAATTCTGTACAACAAACCCCCATGACACATGTTTATCTATGTAACACACCTGCTCACCCTGCACATGTACTTCTGGACATAAAATAAAAGTAAAAAGATGTAATTATTATTCTACTGCGGTGGAAATTGCAGGCCCATGATGGTAACTAATCACCACTATTTTACCTCATTATAATACTGCATCAGTAAGTCCATCAACATAAGCAAATAAGATTTGATAACCAAGGGACTTACAGTTTCTAATTTGTATTTGACACATGGCCTGCCTTTTGGAAGAGCAACATAGAACCTAGCTATCTTTGATTAAGGTCGGTAAATGATTGTGTGTAAATCCCATTCATTTCTCATGAAAAGGAAACCTCTTTACAAGTCACTACCAGGGATTCTTCAGTCACAGATAGGAAAAATTTCCAGGAAGACTTCTATAAAATACATATATTAACGTCTCAGAAGACATAGTTGAAAGGACTTCCTTGGGTCCTTTTTCTTAGGTCCTCATCTTGACTGTCAAGCGATTTTCTCTCCAAATGATGGAAAGAAAGGGCATTTGTCTGTTACACACTTCTATTCCTCTATTCACTAAAGCACTGTGTCCTAGTAATGGGGTCTAGTTATGTCTGGCTTGAAATAACACACATATTTCTTTCTCATTCTTAGGGAGTGGAGTGTTTCTGTGTGTGTGTGATGTGGGTAGGCCAGGAGGTTTTCTGTCTAGGTAACACACAGTCTGAAATCATTATTAGCATGACGTGGAAATAGTATTTCTATTTTAGAAAGATGATTTTAACTGTAGGATGAAGAATCAATTGGAAGAGCTGATACATTGAAAGATGTGAATCTAGATTTTGGGAGACTTCTTAATAGTATATTTTGCTAGTCTAGGCCATGAGATATGTTTAATAGTAATGCTAGTAGAAATGGTGACTGGCATTTTATAATTATTTTACAGATACAATTTCTAGAACTTGGTGGAACATTTTTTAAAATGTAGGTTTTATTATTCAGCTATGGTGAAAACAACAGATCAGAAGATGATGCCACTGGGAATATAATTTGTTGTTTACAGTTCCTAAGAGGAGGGGTCATGCCACACCATGCAGGGCCACACAGGAAGCACTAGAGCCAGGAGGCAGAGGGAGCAAGAGGAAATTACAGGCACAAGCTTTGATTGGTTTTTCTTCAGAAAAGGCAAGGCGAGGCAGGATAAGCAGGGGTAGGATTGGCTAGTTTGAATAACCTCAGTGGGCTCTGAGGTATAGGGTCTGTCTCTAGTTGTCTTGTACCTGGACCTGTGATGATTAGGGCTGAATAATGGTATCTATTTGGGTTTAAGAGCCAGGTAGAGGAGGTGGTTCAGAGTAAGGGCTCTGGATTGGTTAGTCTGCATAAGAAAGGCATGCTTCAGGGCAGATCCTTTGCTATCTTTAAAAACTGACTAGCCCTGGTAGGTGCAGTCTCTTCCCAGATGCCAGAATATCAAGAATACAGAAAATAAAAAAAATAAGTTAATGCATATTTAGCATGAGAAATGAGGAAATAAGGGAAATAAAGTCAGAGATTTCCACCTTGGATGACTACGTAGAAGTGAAACACCATTAACTTTCCAGGGAACTAAACTTGATTGAGCAACTATTCTGTGTCAGGCATTGTTCTAAGATCTTTACATGAATAGTCTAAATCCTAAGACCAAAGCTTTAATATGAAGGTTGTTTTTATCTTAACTCTACTGGTGTCTTGATGGAGTCTACAAGAGTTTGTGCTCAGTCCATTACAAAATGATCCCTCACAGCTTGGTTTTTGACATGTTGGATTGGAAGTGCTTGGAAGATATCACAGTAGGACTGTCTAGGACACAGTACCCATAATATTCCCATTTTAAATCATGATCTCATTTAACAGAAACCTACATTGCACTTGCTACTTTCCAAACACTGTCCTAAAAGCTTCACAATGCCAGCTCATTTAATCTTATGATAATGCTTTGAGATACGTACTATCGTCCTCATTCTATCCACATTTTCAATCCTCATGACAGCTCTCATTTATGAGATGTAATGATGATACTCTAGGCTAGGAATTTTATGTGTTAGCTTCATTCAGTAATTGAAGACACGTGATAATCTCCAGATTTTAAAGACCAGAAAACTAAAGGTTATTAGGCCTGTGTCATTTGTATAATACCATTGTATAGCTTTATTTTCATATATTTTATAAATGGGAGCTTCTGCTGTGATTAAAAATGATTACCACATTTTACAGACCAGAAAGTCATAATAAGTGTTGGCGAAGATGTGAAGAAATGAGAACACTTGTACACCACTTGTGGGAATGGAAAATGTACAGATGCTGTGGAGAATAGTGCAGTGGTTGCTCAAGAAATTAAAAATAGCTTTACCATATGATCCACCAATCCCACATCTGATTGCATATCCAAAAGAATTGAAAGCAGGGACTCTAAGAGATATTTGTCAACCACGTTTTAGCAGCACTATTCACAATAGCTAATGTGTGGTAACAAGGCAGGTGTCCACGAACAGACAAACAAATAAGCAAAATGTGGTATATACATACAATGGAATATTATTCAGCTTTAAAAAGGAAGGATGCTTTGATCTATACTACAACAGAAATGAACTTTGAAGACATTATGCAAAGTGAAATAAGCCAGTGACAAAAAGGCACTTATTGTATGATTCTACTTCTAAGAGATATTTACAGTGGTCAAAATTATAGAGACAAAAAATAGTGTGTAGTTGCCGGGGGCTAGAGAAAGGAGAAATGGGGAGTTATTACTTAATAAATAGTGGTGATGATTGTATAACAATAAGAATATAATTAATGCCACTGAATTGTACATATACAAATGGTTAAGATAATAAATTTTATGTTATGTGATTTTACCACAATAACGAAAATGGAAAAAAAAAAAAAAGTAAAGCTTAGTAGTTTACATGACTTGACCAATGCCTCAAGGCCATGAGTCATGCAGCCTGGTTGTGAACGTCAGTATATTCGATTTTGAAATCCCAGACTTTTCCCAATCTTCTTGTACTTTTCAACTGTGTTTCACTGGAGCTTTATTTTCAGTTTTGTATGTGAGTTTCTTCATTAGAAGAGGTGGGCTGAATTGCATCCCTGCAAAATCTTATATATTGAAGTTCTAACCCCTCTACCTCAGATTATGGCTGTATATGGAGAGAGAGGCTTTAAAGAGGTATGTGAGATAGAATGAGGTCACTACACCCTAATCCAGCATAACTGGTGTCCTTATAAGAAGGGGAAATTAGAATTCAGATGCACTTGGTGACACCTTGAGTTCAGACTGGAAGCCTCTAGAACTGTGAGAAAATAAATCTCTGTTGTTTAAACCACCCAGTCTGTGGGACTTTGTTATGGCAGCCCTAGCAAACTAATACAAATGGTGTTTTTACAACTGAAACAAAACTGGAATATCATCATCATCCTAGAGAGTTACCAGGACTATTTTAACAGAATCTGACTGTTTTCTAAAGTCACCACGCCTACGTCAGAGGTCAGATGATGTCCTGGGATAAAAGCCAACTAGCTTCCTCTTGCTGTTTCTTTAGCTACTGGTCTGCAGACATTTCCTTCTTCTTCTTCTTCTTCTAACTTCCTCTCCTGTGACAAAAGAGATAATTATTAGAGAAACAAAAGTCCAGGATGCTAAGGTCGACACTCTCACTTCCTCTCACTCTTTAGCCCAGAGCTGTTTTGAATACACCAATTGCTGTGGGGCACTGGCTCCAGGAAGAGAAGACATCAGTGCCTCAGAATCTCTGCCCTTTCAGAAGGTGATAGCCAGCCACTTGTTCACAGGGCCACTGCTGCTCACAGAAGCAGTGAGGATGATGCCAGGATGATGCCTGCTTCATGCCTGGCTGGGATTCTGATCCCAGCCATGGCATTCCTCTCCTGCGTGAGACCAGAAAGCTGGGAGCCCTGCGTGGAGGTATGTGGCTGGTGTCAGCTCCTCTGAACTTTCCCTGGCTTCTGCCCAGAACTTCATACTGTGTGCCCTGGTTTGTTTACTTTTGCAAAAAAGAATTAAATTACCTTAGAGACTCAGGAAGCCACAGAGATCCACTAATTCACGGTTAGAGGGCACTAACGGCAGCCAATGGGGGTTTGTTCCATTTGCAACTTTTGAGTGCTAACAGGGGCATTAGATTACGTAGATCTGCTTAAATCTCTGCTCTGCTACCTTGTGGCTCTTTGAAGAAATAAACCTCTCTGAGACGAGTTTTCACACTGATAAAAGAGTTATAATAATACCTTCTTCACTAGAGAGTAAGCAGACCACTTTGGTGTCATTTTTATCCCACTGGTGGTCTTTACACACAGCTTCAAGCAGTCTTCTTGCCCCTTCAATCTCAGGAAGAAGATGGCTTGTTTGTGACTGAAGAGAAAGAACTTTCTAGGTGGGTGTCAGACTTCTGTATGCAGTCACATAGTTTGGTCCAGAGGGTAAATAAAATAAGAGAATGGAAAAAGAAAGGAGAGAGAGAAGAAAAGAGCAAGAGGGAATGAAGTATGATATCAGCTAATGCAACAGTTTCTTTCTTTGTGAAATACCACCCAGCTGATTGGTAACCTTATTCATGATGGATCTTGTGATTTTCCCCTGCACAGACTTCACAGTTGCTTTAGAAACCCACTGTAGAGCCAAACAGCTAAGAAAATGATTTACAGTGAGGCCGGGTCAGACACTCAGGAGAAGCAAAGACAGCTGCAGTCCTGAAGTTGAGAATATGGGAGAAAACAGAGTAATATTTAGAAAAGATGAATTCATTATCTCAAAGCCCTGTTCCCACAATTCCCTGCCCATAGTCTTCCTCCTTGTCCTCTTCTCTGTATCTCTCTGCTGTTAGGTTGATGGGGATAGATTCTCTAATCAGGATCACTCTGAGATAAAACCAGAGTCAACCTTGACTCCTTCTTTTACCCATGTGCCTTTCCCTGTCAGTCCCTGAAGCCTCTCCATCCCTGTAAGGCAGGCCTTCATTTCCCCTGGCCCTGACTTCTATACAGGGACTGCTTTCCTGATTCCAGTCTTCTTCCTTTAATTCATTCTGCATGTTTTTGTTTGTTATGTATTTGCATTAGTCATTATTTTTGCTTTGGCTTCAACCTAAGAAATTGCTCTCATTAGAAACTTTTAGTAACTCTTTATTGTCATTAAAACAGTTTTCTACCACAGGACCTTTGTACTGGCTATTTCTTCTGCCTAGAATGCCAGATCAGTGCTATCTAATGGCAATATTATGTGAACCACATATGTACTTTTAAAGTTTTTAGTAGCCTCATTGAAAAAAAGATTAAGTGAATTTAATTTTGATAATATTTTTATTTAACTTAGCAAATTCAAAATAATGTTTAAAATTTTAATATATATTTACCTATTACTGATATTTTACATTCCTTGTTAGGTACTAAGTCTGAAATTTAGCATGTAGTTTACATTTACCTCACATCTCAGTTTAGACTATTTACATTTCTTGTGTTTGATAACTGTGTATGGCCAGTGAGTACCATGTGGGTCAGTGCAGCCCTAGTCATTTTCATGGTTAATTACTCCATTCAGATCTCTGCTTAAATGTCTCTTCCTCAGGGCAGTCTTCCTTGACTGTCCCATATAGAGCTCCCCAGCCCTCACTTACTTGCCTTATCCCCTTATAATGCTTATTTTTTTTTTCTAGAGCACGACATTTCATATTTTGGTTTGTTTATTTTCTCTCTCTACTTTGAAATGGAATCTGTAAGGAGGCAGGATCATTGCTGGTTTTACTTATCACTATATTCCCAGCACACAGTAGCCACTAAATTTATATGTGACAGACAGTTGAAATAATTGCTGCAGGACAAACTCTGAAGCCCTCCTGATCTGGCTTGCCCTCTGACTCAGGTTTCACCACTCTCACCACTCACCAGCTAATCTGAGTTTGTTTTCCACTCCTTCTGTGCTCACATTGTCCTCTCCTTACGACAAGATTTTCTTCCCCTTTCCGCATATCTAAGCCTTACTCATCTTTGAAGACCTACTTTAAAATCTTTCTTTCTCTGGAAAGTCTTTCCTGAATCCAGACTTGATCTCTGCTTTCTCTGAACCACAGGACCTATTTTCTAAGCCTAGTGTATGGCCACTCTAGACAGTGTTAGCTTCGCTCCTATCTAAACTCTTACTCTAGACTGTGAGTCCACTGAAATCTGGAGCCACATCATATTTTTCTTTGCAATGCCCACGGGACTTGGCAGAAAATGCCTATGATTTGCACTTAAGTAGACCCTCATTTAATCAGTTATTCAATCAGTTATTCATTTATTCAGCAGATATTTATTGAGCGTCAACCATTTGCCAGACACCATTCTCAGTGCTGGAGACAAAGCAGTGGGCAAAACCATCAAAACTTGCAACGGAGTGCAGGATATGAACAATCACATGGACAACATAATGATAGATGCTGATACATCCTGTGAAAGGGAGTAAAAGAGGGCAAGGAAAGGCTGTGTGGCACTGTTCTGTGTCTATTAAACATTGTTTTTGAGGCTCCTATGGCATGTAACATTTAAGCAGACATGTCAATGAAGACCTGCATGTTTGAACTCTGACTTTGTGCATATTACTTCATGTCTTTGAATTTCTCGTCTTTAAAATTGTCCTCATCTTTAAAATGCTTATTTGAAGATTAAGTGAAAGTATATAAGATATAAGAGATTAATAATATATAATAATGATTAATGTTAACATCTATTGATCATTAATACTGTATTGGGCTTTTAAATAAGCTCTTTAAATACCTTATCTCTTTGAATCCTTCAAATAGATTCTATTGGTTTAAACAACAGAAAACTACAATTAGCTGGCTTCAGCAAGGAATTTTGTTGGAGGAAATGAAAGAGTTCCGAAATTAGATGGGAGTGTTAGAGAATTAGGCTTACAAAGAATGTGGGAAAGTAGGCTAGAAAGCAGCATAAGAACAAAGACAGCATAAAGCTCTTGACCTTATTTGCTGGGTTCCACCATGGGAATCCATGCACTCTAAAGATTTCCCCCTATTTCTGCATCAGTCTGCTCAAGGCTTAGTGAACCAAGAAAAAGAATGCGGTTGTCAAAATCTGGACTATGATTAAGGAAGGTCTGGATATCTTGACTGTCAGACAGTCTCCCCAAGGTGCTATATAATGTGGGATATTTAGAATGATACTGGATATTTTATTTATTTTTTTAAATTTTCAACTTTTATTTTAAATTCAGGGGTACTTGTGCTGAGCACACAGGTTTGTTACATAGATAAATGAGTGCCATGGGGATTTGCTGTCAGATCATGAAAATATGGAACACGTCATGAATTTGTGTGTCATCTTTGTGCAGGGGTCATGCTAATCTTCTCTGTATCATTCCAATTTTAGTATATGTGCTACTGCAGTGAGAATGCTATTGGATATTTTGTTACCTACATTTTACATATGATAAAACGAGGCTCACTGAGGGTGTTTTGTTATCGTTGTTGAGTTTTATTGTATATATTTAAATTGATTTAATTTTCATTTTTAAGGATAAAAATTTTCTCCTTTTTCTGCTGAGAACAAGACCCAGTTAACAGAAACATAAATAGTGATTTACATAACTATAACTCTTTTGACATTAGAAAAGCTGCGCATTTGGTCTTCTTTATTATTATTATTATTATTATTACACTTTAAGTTCTGGGGTACATGTGCAGAATGTGCAGGTTTGTTACATAGGCATATGCATGCCATGGTGGTTTGCTGCATCTATCCCACCCTCCGCCATCATCTACCTTAGGTATTTCTCCTAATATTATCCCTCCCCAATTCCCCCACCCCTTGCTATCCCTCCCCTAGCTGCCTCCCATCACCCTGACATGCCCTGGATGTTTTAGTTTTTTTTAAAGACATTGCCCTAAACCACACAAAAGAGGTGGCGTAAAACCCAGAGCTTTCAGATTCTGGAGCCTCAGCCCTTTACCCCCTGATTCCATTGCTTTTCACTAAATGCTGCCATTTTATCACAGAGGTTGGAATTCTGAGCACAAAGTAGGTGCTCTTCACTTTCTAATCTAGAGTTAGACATTTTATAAATATGAATTGAGTGAAGGGATGGTCAGATGGATTGAAGGATGGATGGATGGATGGATGGAAGGATGGATTAAAAAAAGTTGACTGGATTTTGTGCTTGCACAAAAAGAGCCCCCTCCCCCACCGAGTCTCTAGTCTGAAAGAGGAGAGTTGGCAGAGCATGCAGTAAAGATCCTTCATTTTATGTGTAATCATTGCAGGTGGTTCCAAACATTACTTATCAATGCATGGAACTGAATTTCTACAAAATCCCTGACAACATCCCCTTCTCAACCAAGAACCTGGACCTGAGCTTTAACCCCCTGAGGCATTTAGGCAGCCATAGCTTCTTCAATTTCCCAGAACTGCAGGTGCTGGATTTATCCAGGTAATGAACGCACTTTTACATACTGCTCAAGGTGAGATGTTCTTTGTCCTATAATTTCTTTATTGGACCAGAAAGCTTGGTTGGTGAAGTCTCATCTGCATTCACTTACTCATTCACACATTAGATGTCTTATTAGCTATAAAACCTTGAGCAAGCCACGTCTGTTCTCCAGGTTTCAGTTTTCTCATCTGAGAAATAGGCAGTTGGCCGAGACAGCTTCTAAGGACAATTCTAATTTTAGGTTTTCTTCTAAGACAGGAGAGAATTTTAGCTTAAATTATTTTATAAGCAGCTATTTATTGACTACTTGCTATATGTTGTACACTCTGCAAGAAAACAGGCATATATTGATATATAGCACACAGCCCCCATTGTTAAGGAGGAATATCTTCTTGAAAGAGTTAATACCTTAAAGTCCTGGATATGGTGCTGGGTAGACAGTATATATTCAACAAATTTTAATTCTGAGATTTTGGATCTTGAAGCTGATATAAAGATAGTGATATATAATAATAGGTGATGTGCTATGTTTAAAGTAGAGGTTACAAATTGTGTTGTTCAGAATAGGGGCCTTCTCTGTGGTGGGTAGTCAAGAAAGATTTCATGAACTGCATAAGGTTCAAATAATGTCTAGAATATTAAAAGTAGAGTAGAGGATAGGGAATTAGAAAAAGACAAGTAACCCAAGGAGAAAGATATCAAAATCAAAGGGAAACATCTGCTGTGGGTAGGGAATAGTGGCTAAGCTTTTCTTTTCTGATGCAGGGAAGTATATCATTTGTTGTGGCAGATGAAATTGTCATTATGATATTTCAGGGGAACCAAATTCTAGAAGGGTTTTCATCATCATCACGGGCCTTATTTGCAAATTGAACTAGATAATGGACTATGTTCTCTGCAATAGTTTGTAAACCATTTTACATATTACTTATTATAGAAATTCTTGATAAAGACTAAGGTCACAGTATAAAAATCTCTTTTAGAGCAGACATTTCTGTAGAAGAATGAACATGTGATCGATTATACTGTAATTTGGACATAGATAGGATATAACAAAGGGGTAATGCAATAATTCAATGGCAGTGGCATAGTGCATAGAGCCCTGTGGGAGTCAGAAGACCTGAGCCAAGTTTACCCCAATATTTATAACATGTAACCTTAGGCATATTACTTCATCTCCCTCTGATCGATGGAAATGATGAAACTTATCCTGCTGGATTAAATGTGATAATAAATATTAACATGCTGTATATATTAAAAATTTTATGAAGTATATTTTATAAGCATAAAATATTGTTATTATAGAATTTCATTAGTTTTTTAAATAATTTCAACTTTTATTTTAGATGCAGGGGTTTACATGGTTATATTGTGTAATGCTGAGGTGTAGGGTTCAGTTGATCCCATCACTCAGGTAGTGAACATAGTGCCTAATAGTTAGTTTTCCAACCCTTGCTGCTTTCTCTCCATCCCGTCTCTAGTAATCCCCAGGGTCTATTGTTGCCATCTGTATGTGCATGTGTACTCCATGTTTAGCCCTTATTTATAAAGTGAGAACACATGGCATTTGGCTTTCTGTTCTTTTGTTAATTTGCTTAGGATAATGCCTACCAGCTGCATCTATGTCATTATATTCTACATTTCAGTTTTCTGTGTCAAAATTTTGTCAAGGTAGACCACCTCTCCCTTTTTTTCAAAGAAGAAGTGGTTTTTCATCAAACAATGTTTCTTATGTAATTCATCTTCATCTTCGATCCACCAGATACCTAAGAAACTTGCCCCAGAAACCTTAAATATGTGCTTACAAAGAGGCTGCCTTCCCTTCTGGTTAGCCCATAGAAGATTCTGAATTAGGGCTAGCACAATAGACACCCTTCGCCTTTTCATACAGTGTTCACATACAGTAACTCAAGTAGTCTTGTAAGAATGCTTTGTGATAGACCAAGCAGCCTTATTCCCCCTATAGAAATCTATATAAAAATCTAAATATATACATATATATATATTTCTTTTTATAGATGAAGAAACTGAAGCTTGAAGAATTCCATTGACTTATATACATAATCATAGCTTGTTAGCCACAGATCAGAGTCTTAAGTTCACATCTCCAGTATCTAAGTTAAATGTTCTCTTTGTCTTAATACTCTGCTTCTCTAAAGTGATTATCACTGATGTAATGACATAGAGACACAGCAAGATCCTTTCATTCTTGTCTGATGTAAAGAGCAATGCAAAGATAAAATAATAGGCTGTAAAATCATATAATTGAAAAAAGAATTTAAAAAATGATCAGGTTCAGCTGTTTCATTTGAAAATGTAACTAAAACCCAGAGAGGAAAAGAGGTGCTCAAGATCACACAGTAGGAGAGGACTGCAGAGACACCAAACGAAGCTATATTGTCCCCTCTTCCAGTATTCTTTCTACTGTATTGCCTATCCTTTATCTAGTTATCAATAAATAACAAAAGCTTGGACCACATTGCTTTTATTATTTAGGAAACTGCTGAAGAAGCTATAGCAGGTGGGGAATATTGTAAATACAATTAAGGCTGGATTGAGGAATAACTTATCTGTACATTGTAACTGACCAGCAATGCTAAAGGACTTTATCATTGGGTTGCTGTTTGCTGGCTGTATAAAAGCCTTGTCTCTAGGACATGTCTATGAACATTGTATGTAGCATGGCTTCCATTTCTCTTGGGATAAAACTCAAAACTCTTCATCTTATTAGTAAACTTCTGCCTAATAGAAAAACTTTCTCTACAACTCCACATTGTACACTCCAATTTCATCTCTGCAATTCAACCATGGAAGGTATTTGTCATGATTTTTTCACATGTCATTTTTGCTGTCAACCTTGGGGCTTTTGTGTCTGCTGTTTTTAATCTCCTTTTATGTTAACTTCTACTAATCTTTCAATTTTCAACTTAAGTGTTCTCAGAGAAGCCTACTTTGATCTCTTGGTCTGCAATAGTTCTCTGGAGGTGAACTCTCATAGCACATAGTTTTCCCTTTCTTACACACAACTCACTCCTAAAGCCTGTTACAAGCATGTACCTGTTGTAAAAATGACTTTCAAACATTTCACTATCATGAACACACAACTTTTTATAAACGTTAAGAGAATCTGTGACACTTATGTGTAATTTTTTATATCTTTGAAATTGATATTTACCATTTATCATGACTAACAACTAACAACTATCCACATTATCTGTATCAATAAGACGTATGATCACAATTTTGTGTGACAGAAAATGGCTAAAATTGATCCAAGGCTATTACATACGTTATCAATCACATGATTCTTATATATCTCAATTATTGATCTTTAGCTGATTTCGTTCATATGGATTTTCTCTTCTGCTTGTGATGTGTACATAACATGACAAAAAGAGCCTACCATTGCAGCAGGTATGATAATACCTCAATCTGTGGGGCTTCCTATTTGCTCATGCCATCATCATCTGTCCTGCTTGACGTCTTTGCCTATGCACAATCATATGACCAATCACATCTGTATGACGAGCTGGATGACTAGGATTAATATTCTATTTTAGGTTCCTATTCAGCAGAAGTATTATATAATCTGTGTCTTTCTTTCCTGTAGGTGCGAAATCCAGACAATCGAAGATGGGGCATATCAGAACCTAAGCCATCTCTCCACCTTAATATTGACAGGAAATCCTATCCAGAATTTAGCCCTGGGAGCCTTTTATGGACTATCAAGTTTACAGAAGCTGGTGGCTGTGGAGACACATCTGTTATCGCTAGAGAACTTCCCCATTGGACATCTCAAAACTTTGAAGGACCTTAATGTAGCTCACAATCTAATCCAATCTTTCAAATTACCTGAGTATTTTTCTAATTTGACCAATCTAGAGCACTTAGACCTTTCTAGTAACAATATTCAAAATATTTATTGCCAAGACTTGCAGGTTCTACATCAAATGCCCCTACTCAATCTCTCTTTAGACCTGTCCCTGAACCCTATAAACTTTATTCAACCAGGTGCATTTAAAGAAATTAGGCTCCGTAAGCTGACTTTGAGAAATAATTTTGATAGTTTAAATGTAATGAAAACTTGCATTCGAGGTCTGGCTGGGTTAGAAGTCCATCGTCTGGTTCTGGGAGAATTTAGAAATGAAAGAAATATTGAAGACTTTGACAAATCTGCTCTGGAGGGCCTGTGCAATTTGAGCATCAAAGAATTCCGATTAGCACACTTAGATGACTTTCCGGATGATATTATTGACTTATTTAATTGTTTGGCAAATGTTTCTTCATTTTCCCTGGTGAGTGTGTATATTAAAAGAATAGAAGACTTTTCTTATAATTTCAGATGGCAACATTTAGAGTTAGTCAATTGTAAATTTGAACAGTTTCCTCCACTGGAACTCAAATCTCTCAAAAGGCTTACTTTCACTGCCAACAAAGGTGGGAATCCTTTTTCAGAAGTTGATCTGCCAAGCCTTGAGTTTCTAGATCTCAGTAGAAATGGCTTGAGTTTCAAAGGTTGCTGTTCTCAATCTGATTTTGGGACAACCAGCCTAAAGTATTTAGATCTGAGCTTCAATGATGTTATTACCATGGGGTCAAACTTCTTGGGCTTAGAACAACTAGAACACCTGGATTTCCAGCATTCCAATTTGAAACAAATGAGCGAGTTTTCAGTATTCCTATCACTCAGAAACCTCATTTACCTTGACATTTCTCATACTCACACCAGAGTTGCTTTCAATGGCATCTTTAATGGCTTGTTCAGTCTCAAAGTCTTGAAAATGGCTGGAAATTCTTTCCAGAAAAACTTCCTTCCAGATATCTTCACAGATCTGAATAACTTGATATTCCTGGACCTCTCTGAGTGTCAACTGGAGCAGGTGTCTCCAACAGCATTTGACTCACTTCCCAGACTTCAGGTACTAAATATGAGCCACAACAACTTCTTTGCATTGGATACATTTCCTTATAAGCATCTCTACTCCCTCCAGGTTCTGGATTACAGTCTCAATCACATAGGGACTTCCAAAAATCAGGAACTACAGCGTTTTCCAAGTAGTCTAGCTTTCCTAAATCTTACTCAAAATGACTTTGCTTGTACTTGTGAACACCAGAGTTTCCTGCAGTGGATCAAGGACCAGAGGCGGCTCTTGGTGAAAGTTGAACAAATGGAATGTGCATCTCCTTTAAATAGGAAGGGCATACCTGTGCTGAGTTTGAATATCACCTGTCAGATGAGTAAGACCATCATTGGTGTGTCAGTGCTCAGTGTGTTTGTGGTATCTGTTGTAGCACTTTTGGTCTATAAGTTCTATTTTCACCTGATGCTTCTTGCTGGCTGCATAAAGTATGGTAGAGGTGAAAACACCTATGATGCCTTTGTTATCTACTCAAGCCAGGATGAGGACTGGGTAAGGAATGAACTAGTAAAGAATTTAGAAGAAGGGGTGCCTCCCTTTCATCTCTGCCTTCACTACAGAGACTTTATTCCTGGTGTGGCCATTGCTGCCAACATCATCCATGAAGGTTTCCATAAAAGCCGAAAGGTGATTGTTGTGGTATCCCAGCACTTCATCCAGAGCCGCTGGTGTATCTTTGAATATGAGATTGCTCAGACCTGGCAGTTTCTGAGCAGTCGTGCTGGTATCATCTTCATTGTCCTGCAGAAGGTGGAGAAGTCCCTGCTCAGGCAGCAGGTGGAGCTGTACCGCCTTCTCAGCAGGAACACTTACCTGGAATGGGAGGACAGTGTCCTGGGGAGGCACATCTTCTGGAGACGACTCAGAAAAGCCCTGCTAAATGGTAGACCGTGGAGTCCAGAAGGAGCAGTGGGTGCAGGATGCAATTAGCAAGAAGCAATAACTATCTGAAGAGGGAAAAAACAAAAACCAACTTCTGAGGCATTTCTTGCCCAGCTGGGCCCAACACTTGTTAAGTTAACAAGTATTAAATGCTGTCTCATGCCAGGCATTATGCTAAGGCCAAGTAATTCCATGGTTCACAAGATACATGGGGATGCTAATCTCATGGTGCCTCCAGTGCAGAGGGAATAAATGCTACACTAAAATACAGAGCGTTCCAGGTGGGCATTTCAACCAAGTCAGCCAAGGAACCCATGACAGAGAAAGTCATTTCAACTCTTACCTCATCAAGTTGAATAAGGACAGAGAAAGCAGAAAGAGGCATTGTTCTTCTCCTGAGTCTTTTGAATGGAAATTACATTATATATTATGTCATAGCCGTCATAAAACCATTTTGGTAGTTTTGACTGAACTGGGTGTTCACTTTTTCCTTTTCCATTGAATTTAAACTCTACTTGATGACTCATTGGGCTGGTGATGCAAGATGCACCTTCCATTTTAAATCAGTTTCCTTACAGAGGTTAAAGCTTAGTGGCTAATTCCTAAGGAGACCTGATTAACACATGCTCACAATCATCCTCATCATTCTTGAGACTGCTCTGTTTTTCAACTAATAACCCCTAATATATTTTTATTTTTATATGTCCAGTTCTTATTTTTTTTAAGGTAACTTCATATTTTTATTTGTCTCTAAGAGCATGATTTCCAGCCACAGTTTATTATTACAAGTCAAAATCTGAAGATTATTAATAGCATAACTTCCAAATACAATTTTAATTTAAAGGAACATTGTATGTTCTGCATATGTACACCAAAACCTAAAATGCAATAAAAATAAATAAATAAATTAATTAATTTTAAAAACTACACTTAATATACCCCACTTAAACACACAATATATTCCAGTTCTTATTTTTTAATGTCTTTAAGCCAATATCATAAATAAGGTTGTTCAGGATGTGCTTTAAATATCCATATTTATTTAACCACCATTTTTTAAGGAAGTATATAAAGTACACTCTGTCACTTTGTCACTCAATATCATTTCAAAGTTATTGTCTCCTAAGTTATGACTGTCATGAAAGCAGTGTTGAAATAATTTCTATAAGGGGGTACTTTTTTTAAACAGGGAAAGAAAATGTCCACTTTCTGGTCATATCATGGACAATTTGGGCAAGAAAGGAAGTGGGGTGACCTCAGGAGGTCACCTGTTCTTGATTCCAGAAACGTATGGGCTTATACACTTGGGGTGACCCCATAAAATGAGTTGCAGCAGAAATTTTTTTTTTCAGAAAAATTGATGTTTAATGGACCTCTGAATCTCTTCAGGGAGATATGGAGGGCTGGGATCCCTCCCCTGCACCCTCCCCACTGCCAGGGGAACTACTTGAGAAGGGATTCAATGCAGGTAGTACATACATTTCTGCTTCCTGTTGGGCACTGCTCCCTGACCACATTTTGGGAAGAGTGGATGCTATCATTGAGAAAACAATGTGTCTGAGATTAATGGGGTTCATTCATATAAAGGGAGTTCCCAGAAAAAAATGTTCATCCAGCCTCCCCAGAAACAGAATATTCAAGAAAAGGACAATGAGGACATCATCAGGAAAATGAAAATAAAAACCGCAATGAGATATCACCTTATACCAGGTAGAATGGCTGCTATAAAAATAAAGGGTCATCAAGGATATAGAGAAATTGGAACCCTTCTACATTGTTGGAGGGAATGTAAAATGGTGTACCCATTATGAAAAACACTATGGAGGTTTCTAAAAAATTAAAAATAAAACTACTCTGTGATCCAGCAACCTCACTTCTGTGTATATACCCAAAATAATTGAAATCAAAATTTCAAGGAAATATTTACCTTCCCATGTTCATTGCAGCACTTTTCACAATCACTGTTTCCAAAGTTATGGAAACAACCCAAATATCCATTGAAAAATAAATGGACAAAGAAAATGTGCACATACATATAATGGGATCTTATTCAGCCTACAAAAAAGAGGGAATCCTGCCATTTATGACATCATGGATAAACCTGGAGGTCATTATGCTATGTAAAGTAAGCAAGTAACAGAAAGACAAATACTGCCTGATTTCACTTGTATGAGATACTAAAATAGTCAAACCCAAAGAAGCAGTGAATAGAACAGTGGTTCCTGGGGAAAAGGAGCAAGGGAGAAATGAAGAAATAGGGAGTTGTCTAATTGGTATAAAATTACAGTATGCAAGATGAATTAGCCCTGAAGATCAGCTGTATAGCAGAGTTCCTATAATGCATAATACTGTATTATGCACTTAAAATTTTTCTAAGAGGATAGATCGCATGAAGTATATTTACCATATGTACTTTTGGTAATATATGGTATATATTACCATATATTTGGTATATATTTCCATTACACAAGGAAACTTTTGGAGGTGATGGATATATTTATCACCTTGATTATGGTGATGGTTTCACAGGTATATGACTATGTCTAAACTCATCAAATTGAATATATTAAATATATGAAGTTTTGTAATATCAACTATATCTGAATGAAACTATAAAAAAGGAAAGACAACAAAACTCAGTTGTCAAAACTGCAACTATGAGAACACTCAGAAGTGTGATTTTTTACTGAGTGTGTCAGACTGTGTTTTGTTTGAGCATGTCTAGGGTGGTTGAACATCCCTGGATGTGTTTCTATGTCTCATGTACTAGTGAAAGAGAATGTATGCATTTGAACAACATATACCTTTGAACAACATATACCAGTGTGTCCCTATCAGGGTTGTGTGTATTTGAAAGTATGTGTGTCTGTATGATCATATCTGTATAGAGGAGAGTGTGATTATACCTTTTGAAGAATAGATGCATTTCAAGTAGATGTCTAAGGCTGTTTAAGATGGGTTCCCTACTCTTGTGGTGCTTGTACAGTAGTCTCACCTTATTCCTTATCCTTGGTGGATATGTTCTTAGACTTCAAGTGGATCTTTGAGATCCCAGATGGTACCAAACCCCATATATGCAGTAGTTTTTCCTATACACAAATACCTAAGGTAAAGTTCATTTTATGAATTAGGCACAGTAAGAGATTAACAACAACTAATGATAAATTGAATAATTGTAATAACGTTTTATAATAAATGTTACACGAATGTGATCTCTTTCTCTCTCGCTGTCTCTCTCAAAACGTCTTATTGAACTGTACTCACCTACTTTCAGACCATGACTGACCATGAGTAACTGAAACCTGGGAAAGTGAAACTGTGGATAACGAAGGAACTAACATACATACATACATCATTGTTTGTCTATAGATGTATGCATCAATTTCTTAGTATGCTTGAAAATGTGTGATTTTGTGTATATCTGTGCTACTTTTAAGTGCAGTTCTATTCATATTTGAATATGAATTATGTATATGTGTGTTTATTCAAGCAAATATACAGGGCTTTGAGAAGGAAGATCAACATACAACTTGGAGTATTTCCTACATACAAAGCTGACATTGGCCTACTTCCTGTCAGTTCCTTCTCCTCGATGGAAATTCTAGAAATGGCAGGTGAAGTGGACAAGAAGGGAAGTAAATTATATGCATAGAACAGAAGGAGAAGAAAGAGTAAAGTCGTGTCTCAGATAGCCTCTTTGTAGCCCTTTAAACCCTCTGGGTTTAAGAGGGATGAAGGGTGGAATAAGGAGAAATTAATGCCAATTATAATGCCTTAAATTTGTGCGATACCTTACAACTTGAAACATATTCACACAACTATAGTCATATTTAAATATATTACTAGCTGAGTGAAGTAGCAAATAAATAATTACTTTTTCCATATGATTGATGAGAAAGCTGAAGTTCAATGGAGGAAATCTGTCAATAGGCCAAAGAATAGGAAAGTGACAAACCTGAGCCTAGGCCTCCGGTTCACTCAAGGACACTTTCATTCTTCCACACCCAATTGCTTCATGCTTAAAGTTGGCAAAACAGGAAGTGAAACTCCTGCAGTTCTCTGTGTGGTTGACACTAGTCAAGGGTTTCTCAACTGAAACCAGGAATCATTAAGCCAATACATATGTATATGCGTTATACACACCGAATAATTTATTTACAATCCTCTTTCCACAGAGGATTTGAAGGAGCTTCAAACAAAGGATGCATAAACAATAGAGATAATCAACAATAAGTAGAAAATCTGGACATAGAACAAAATGAGGCGAGAAAGACACCGAGAATGAGCATTAACACAGTGTTTCCACGTTTCTGGTGTTTTGGACAGTGTGCCTTTGGAGAAAGCAAAAACTCAGATTCACTATTTATCAAACCATGTGCCTTGGGCTCCACTTCTCTGAGAGTCTACTTAGCTCAAATGTAAAATGAGAATAGAAGTATTACTTTGTAAGGTTGTTCTAAGGATTGAAAATAATGTATTATGTTCAATACAGGGACACTGTCCCTACAGATGGGTACTCCTCTAAGACTTGATAAAGCGGGCACAGGGAGGTCTTCTCAGTAACAGCACTAAAGCAATTGCTGTTTTCCCAGCCTGTGGAACCACAGAAATGACTGTAGCTAAAATGAGGCATTTCTTTCTGACTCAGTCTCTACTCATGGGATTGTCAGACCCCACCCTTCTTCTGGACTCTATAACTTTTTAGAAAGTTTATAGAAAGTTTATCAGCAGGCTTCTAGAGAGGCTTAAATGAACTCGCACAAAATGTGACAGTGAACTGCCTGGGAGAGTGAAAACCAGTCTAAGGCAGTATCTCCATTTACCTGTGTGATTGTGTGAAAGTCACTCACGTGCTTTGAGGATCCGGTCTTAATACACGAAACGGAGGAAATAATGCCTTGTTAGCAGAACTTACTTGGTCAAAGTAATGTTGATAGTTGCAACAGTTACATTTAATTGAGCAATTGTTTTATGCAAGGGCTTTATTTGTGCTATCTCATTTAGTTTGTCACATTAATGGATTAGGAAGATATTAAAGTATTTCCAATTTACAAATTAGGAGTATGAGTCTGGGAGTCATTCTATCATGTGTCCAGTGTCACTTGCTCATTAGTGAGATTAGGATCTAAGTCCACTTCACTGCAGACAGGGCTTCTAAATACTGTTCTATGCCAACAGCACCCTGCTCTCACAAAATGCATAAAACCTCCTCTCACCATTATAATTTGACTGATATTAAACAAAGAGATGTATTATTGTTATTACTTGTTTTTATTTATATTACAGCCATAAGAGCAAGACAAAATAAATCAAAGATTTATGGGATTAAAGATTTTTAAGAGTGAACAAATCAGGCCTTTCTTTGAACAACATGCTTAGGGTTTTCTATCATGTCTATTGTTGATCTGACTTCCTGCTGGGCATCACAGACTTGTGATTAAACACAGAGGTTATGGGGGAAGTTCCAAAACCTTAGGACTTTCCAGATGGTTGGAATAAGATCACACACTCTGACTGCCTTTATGGAGATCACCGAACTTTTCCACTCAAAGTAAAATCTGTGGAGTAAGTGGTTGATCAAAAGGAACCTACTATATTGAGCACCATGTGTGAACATCTGATGGTTGCTGTTACCTCGTGCATTAGAGACTGCTCTCCTCATTTAAGAAATGAGAAAAGAGAAGCCCAGAGAGGACGAGTAACTTGCCATAGGCCACACAGCTTGTATTAATCACAATAACACTTGCTACACATTCTGTATAATTTTTAAAGTTGCTAAGCTTTTAGTGCATGCCTGGCACCATTTTACTTGTATATTACTTCATTTAATTGTTAAAATGACCTTCTGATGCAGGTATTTGTAGCTTTGCCATTCCAGTGATGAAGGAACTGAAATGAAAGGACTGAGTTGTTCAGTTGGAAGGAGCAGAATCAGGGTATGAATTTGGGTTGGCCCGATTCTTGGGGCTGTATTCTTTCCATCACATAATCGCTTGCTGTAATGTACTGGGCTACTCTGCCAGGGGTGGTTAGTGGAAGTGAATGGAGACTAATTTAGACAAGGTCAGTAACTCCCATGCCATCTAGAAATTAAAAGTTTAAAAGGCAGAGTCTGCAACTCTCCTTGATTTCTACAGAAATAAAGATGATCCCTCCTGTGATAGTGCTAAGTGACAATTCTGAGTGTAAATGTGCTTTTTGGCACAAATTGTCCTGTCCTAATAGCCTTGATTATAATTATAAAATAATGGGTTTCTGAAAGGCTGCAAGCAGTTCTGGGAATGGCAATAAGGGTTTAGAAATGACATGATGTTTATGAGAGAAGTGTTTTGTTGAAAATTAAACTCACGTTTGTGTTGTATGCTCCTAGGAAACTATCTCACTATGTACTTAAATCAAAACCAGCCAGTTGCTTATTTGAGCTCTTGGCTCATACGAACAACACCCCATTTCCCATGGACCAAGCAACACAGGACTGACATGAAATAACTCAACCTGATTCTATCCACACCCACCCCAGGATCGTGTCCCTCTGTCTTTCTAGGTCTTGGTCATGAGATGCTAGTGCATGACCCTTCTTCCTGGGACTCACCTTGCCTTCCCTTTAGACTCTTTCTGGGAACTATCTTCACCTGATCAGAAAGTAATAAATACTCTTTCTATTTATGGGATTCCCTGGGAGACACTATATAAAAATAGGCTTAAGAAAACTATTAAAAAAAAAGACAACTTTATGCTATCACTACTCTGACTTCATTTTTTTTTAGATGGATGGCAAAGGCTCTCTTCAAGGTTAGAAAAGTATTTTCTTCTTTTTATATTAATTTTTATAGGTTTGGAGAGCGCAAGTGCAATTTTGTTACATGAATATATTGCATAATTGTTTAGTCCAGGCTGTTAGGGTAACCATCAACTAAACACTGTACTTTGTACCCAGTAAGTAACTTCTCCTTCCTTACCTCCTTCCCACCTTTCTGTGTCTTCAGTGTCTATTATTTCACTCTCTCCAGGTCCATGTCTACACATTATTTAGTTCCTACTCATAAGTGAGAACATGGTTGGAACTGGAGAAAAGTATTTTCTATTCCAAGACCTGTTCCTAGATCCTGCGTCTCTAGGTCACTTGTTCTCTCTCTTATATCTTTCCTATATTCTTCTAGCTTCTTTTTGCAACCTTCATTTTCACAAAGAATTTCAGGGAATCAACAGCTCATTTTCTTTCAATTATTAAAATGGAAATAATATATGAAAGTGACCAAGTTGACCAAGTTCCAATGTCTCACTTTAAAACAAATGCTTGGCTTAAGAATCATTTAAGAATTTTGATTCTATTATCTATGTGTCTATGTATCTACATACTAATTATCTATCTTTATGATCCTTATTGCTAGAAATTCTGGTTCAATATCAGAGGTTGGGTCGAAGGAATTTATATTTTAAAATATTCCCCAAGTAATTTTCATGCACAGACAGATTTGAAAATTACTGTTATATTGGCAAATGGAGACTAATAGCCCACATTTAATATGGTTATTGGTTTTGTTCTTGAGAGTTATTGCTCAGATTCACGATAGCCAAGGCAAGGTCAACAGAATGGAATACGTAATCATTCTTATTAAAAAATGATGGCATCTCATTGGTCAGATCATGTCTTTTTCTTTTACACTGCATAGTGACTCTTCTCAATCCCATCGGATCAGACTCTTAGGGATACTAGAGTTTGCCTATTTGATGCTGAGCTCACTATATCCATTTAGATGTTGTGTTCTGTCAATCGTTTAGTTCTCCTAGTTTCTACCTATCATGTTGTCAATTTCTCTTCTTTATCATCCTGGGTAGCTGGGACCCCCCCCCCATAAATGTATGCCCGAAAAATGTCATGGTCTTCTCTAAACTCTCTGAATTATCTGTTGTCAATGTGATTTTTTTTTCCAGTCCAAAATATATCAAAGTAAAATTTAACTCCATTTTTGCTAAGTATTCAGCTTCCCATGAGTATTACGATTCCAAAAATTACTTTCCCTGGAAAACACAGAATCTCCTTGCAGAGACTTGCTTGGCCACTGACAATCTTCCCAGAAACTCCTATTTCCTTATCATTGAGGGGAACTGGAATAGTGATCACTGAGGGTTGAATTTTGGTAGTTTTGGCCTTTAAGCTGAGACTCTGAGTCTTCTGAAGAGTCTAATGCTCCTCAATGGGAAATACCTG